GTTCTCCCCTTAGGAAAGAAATCACTGAGCATACTTCAATTCTGTCAGTTTGGTAAGACCTGGGATTTAGAGCAAATAATAGTGTGCATGAGTAGTAAAATCTCTCTTCAGGGAGACATGCAGCAGGTTCAGGGGCATCATACTGTGTACCTCCAGAGGGAGTAGAGAAAGTCTGGTTTGGGATTTTTCTAACATAGGTAAGAAGACGTCCATTTGCAATCTGTCCTGACCTTGTGACAATTTGTCAACTCTCTGGCTGAGAGATGAGATTTGTGAAACTATAAATACTTCTAAATACTACAATTACTGATAAATACGAAAATTAAGGTATTCTTTCCTTATTGTCAAATTGTATATATATACAAGATGTATATGTAAAAAACAGTTAAAATTCGTATCTTGTAATACCTTTTTTATTGGACTAACAGAATTTTTTAATGACAAGCTTTCGGGAGAACCTCCCTTTCTCAAGTCTGAAGCATCACTGGACTAATACGGCTACAATCTCTACTTGTACAATATATATATCTATATATAATATATATAGAGAGAGAGAGAGAAAGGCTGTATCCTGTAGTTGTGGGATGGTTATTAAGCCTTTTGTAAGGTGGTCCCCCTCCTATTGCATGCCGTTGCTTAACGTGGCTGCAGGTTCCTACTTCCCATTGCCCACTTCGTCAGTCCACTCATGGAGTTAATTCCTTGAATGTTGTCCAACAGGCATGGGTAACACCTGACCGCAAGCAGCATCCATCTCTGAAAGCACATCAGCCAGCGAACACAGTTCCTTCCAGGCCATCTCTCCATTCTGCAATGTGAGTCGGCATTCCGCCCAGCTAGGTCCTGAGTTATTTAACTCACCTGGCATCCTGGCGAACAGCTTCACTTCTTTTTTTTTGGTCCAGAAAACGAATGTGTCCAGCTCTGCAAAACTCTGATTAGTTTACTTACAAGCCTTTCTCTCTACAGCTTGGACACCATCTAGCGGTCGTAAACTATATTGCAGGATTTGCCATATTTTAAAAATTGTGAGTTTGCAAGCCCTCCCGTAGTAATTTAATTTCATGTTATTAATTATTGTTTTAAGGGGTATTCTTTCACCCATACATTACATCTATGCACTTTTCTGTAAATAGGGGTGTTGGGTGGATAAGTCATAATTCACACATGGCAAAAACAGTTAATGAATTATTTGGAAGGTTTTTGTAATTTTGGAGGGAAGATTCACCTGTCCACTACCCTTTACTGCTCATTAATTTCTTAAAGGGACACTATAGTTACCAGTGCAACTACATGTATTCCTGACCCTATAGTGTTAACACCACCATCTAGTCCCCCTGGGCCCCTCATGCCTCCGTAAATATAGTAAAACTCTTTTCAAGCCAGAAGCTGTAACTCTGCATGCTGTTTGCCTAAAAAAAACAGTCTGCTGACATCATCAGAAGTGGGAGCCTGATCCAATCACAGTGCTTCCCCATAGGATTGGCTGAGATTAACAAAGAGGCAGATCAGGGTCAGAGCCAGCATGATTCAAACACAGCCCTGGCCAATCAGCATCTCCTCATAGAGATGAATTGAATCAATGAATCTCTATGAGGAAAGTTCAGTGTCTGCATGCAGAGGGAGGAGACACAGTGCTGCCCTGTGCTCTGCTGACAGCAGATCTGAGTGGATTGAGGAGTTTTATGCCTCAATCAACTCGGAAGTCCCTCTGGTGGCATTCTGAGTGACTGCAACTGGAGGTGTTCCTAGCTCAGAAAATACAGTGTTTACAAGAGAAAGGCTGCAGGGAGCTATAGTTCTCACCTGAACAACCTCATTAAGCTGAAGACATGCTTGGCCAGTCCATCACTTTTACCTTCAAATTCTTTAGCAAGGCAGTGGTTGCCTTGGAGGTGTGTTTGGGGTCATTATAATGTTGGAAAACTACCCTGTGGCCCAGTCTCTGAAGGGAGGGGATCAAGCTCTGCTTCAGTATGTCGCAGTACATGTTGGCATTCATGGTTCCCTCAATGAACTCCCCAGATCTGGTAGCACCCATGCAGGCCCAGACCATGACACTCCCACCAACATGCTTGACTGTAGGCAAGACACACTTGTCTTCGTACTCCTCACTTGGTTGCCACCCCACACAATTGACACCATCTGAACCAAATAAGTTTATCTTGGTCTCATTGGACCACAGGACACGGTTCCAGTAATCTATGTCCTTAGTCTGCTCGTCTTCAGCAAACTGTTTGCAGGCTTTCTTGTGCATCATCTTTAGAAGAGGCTTCCTTCTGGGACATCAGTCATGCAGACCAATTTGATGCATTGTGTGGCATATGGTCTGAACACTGACAGGCTGACCTCCCACCCCATCAACCTCTGCAGAAATGGTGGCAGCACTCATATGTCTATTTCACAAAGACAACCTGTGGATATGATGCGGAGCACGTGCACTCAACTTTGGTCGATTATGGCAAGGCCTGTTCTAAGTGTAATCTGTCCTGTGAAACCACTGTATGGTCTTGCCCAGCGTGCTGCAGCACGGTTTCAGAGTGTTGGAAATCTTCTTATAGCCTAGGCTATAGTAATACATCTTTATGTAGAGCAACAATTTTATGTAGAGCAACTGAGAGAGTTCTTTGCCATGTTGAACTTCCAGTGACCAGTATGAGAGCGTGTGTGAGCGATATCAAATTAAACACACCTGCTCCCCATTCAAACCTGAAACCTTGTAACACTAACGAGTCACATGACACAGGGAAGGAAAATGGCTAATTGGGCCCATTTTGGACATTTCCGCTTAGGGGTGTATTCACTTTTGTTGCCAACAGTTTAGACATTAATGGCTGTGTGTTATTTTGAAGGGACAGCAAATTTACACTGTTATACAGTCGATACACTTACTACTTTACATTGTAGCAGTGTCATTTCTTCAGTGTTGTCACATGAAAAGATATAAAATATTTACAAAAATATGAAGGGTGTACTCACTTTTGTGAGATACTGTATACTCTTAGCAACCACTTCCCTAAAATTCAACCTCTTGTTCAATTTACGCAAAGATTTCCTTTGAAGACATAAAGATAGCTTATGAGGGTCCTCAAAAATGTCTGTCATTCCCCTGTATCACCATTAACTTAATCTGGTAACCCCATTTGTACTTAATCTGATTGTTCCTCAGAATATTAATTACCGTTACAAAGGCTTTTCTGCTTTTCCTAATATACCAGGACAAGACTTATTTTCAAATCTGAGTAAGGAAAAGGTTTTCCAAAGTTTGCTCTATGTTTGATCATGACTTGTTCTTTACAACTTCCCTCCAACCCACGCACATTTGATGTGGGAAGAGAGAGAGCCATTTACTGGACCTCCTCAAATTTAGAAAACATAGAATGTGATGGCAGATAACCATTCGGCCCATCTAGTCTGCCCAATTATAATTCTAAATACTTTAATTAGTCCTAGCCTTATCTTATAGTTAGGATAGCCTTATGCCTATCCCACGCATGCTTAAACTCCTTTACTGAGTTAACCTCTACCACTTCAGCTGGAAGGCTATTCCATGCATCCACTACCCTCTCAGTAAATTAATACTTCCTGATATTTTTAAACCTTTGTCCCTCTAATTTAAGACTGTGCTCTTGTTGTGGTAGTGTTTCTTCTTTTAAATATAGTCTCCTCCTTTACTGAAAAAAAAGTATAGTTTTTTTTTTTTTTGCAATTGTAATTTTAAGTGTCATTACCAGAAATATACAACGGTGGCGCTCATAAAACCACACTATCAGAAAGCTGAATGTTGAAATAAATTGCATTAGACATCTAGGTCTACAATTCCTTTTTAATGCAAGGATAAGATTTGTATTTTTTGTTTTGACGCACAGTAATTGTTATTAGCACCTCCAGCATTTTTTGCATGTTTTCTATGTTCTACCATGATAAATCTGTTATTGTTACATAAAATTGTTCTAACATTTTCGTTAAAGGAACACTACAGGGTCAGAAACAGACATGTATTCCTGACCATATAGTGTTAAAAACACCATCTAGCCCAGTTTTACCATGCTGCTTGCACAAGCTGTTCGTTAATAGTTGTCAATATTTGACTGGTAATTAATGAAACTCCCCTTTATTGCTGGTTATATAATTTTTTTTTTTTTTTTATAAACATGAGGCATTTTCTAAACTTTTTTTTGAACAGCACCTGAGGAAGACCACCTGATGGTTGAAACGCGTTGTGCAATACCTTTTATATTTCTTTTTATACAAATAAATATCCTTTTTATATATCCTGATACTCCTGGCTCCTGACTCCAACTTTTCATCAGATGATTATTTAGATCATTGAAGGATTCGCCTGAAGAGTGAAGGAATGTGCATGTCCCACTTAAGTGACATATAAAGCTACATAAGTCCCTAGCCTACTTTAAACGGCTCAGCAAAGTGTGAGTGATTTTAGCTCATAATTTCCTTTTTATTGTGTTTTATATACAGACCACACTATGTTTTGTTCTGTGTTTGCATTTTCTGTATAGGCAAACTTACATTGTATATACCTATTGTATTTAAGGAGGAGTTACTTCTTACCAGTTATTTATAACACGTCAGGTAAAGACCTCCTTGTTCTGTGTGCGCTTTTACCTTTCCTACTTTTTATTGTATTCTTTCTAAGTATATATAGTGGTGATATACTTGGGTATAGCAGCACCATTCATTCACTTTATCCTCCAGCGCCATTTTCTATATATTTTTTTGTTATATTTTCTAAACTTGCTCCTTTGTATGGTCTCTTATTGAGTGTCCCTTAAGTACTTCGGGTGTGGTACAATCTGGATAGAACTACAAGTCCATAGCAGTAGAGGTTCCAACACTACAAGGCCAAAAATAAATATTGTAGAATATAATATGGAAAAATAAATGACTGCATAACATTAACAAATTGAGAATCTTAATGCTTTTGGTGTTCTATATCGATCATAAAAATTCTGTTATTTGGAATATTTGAAATTAACGCATTCTTCGTAAATCAAGTAATGATTTAATGCAACATAAGCAATTTGCAAGACACTACATTTCTTTGAGATTTATTTGAAAGATGTGCAAACTGTAAAAACATTTGATGCAAAAGCATAGTTTACAAAAATAGTTTTATTAACACTATACATTTTTTGAATATGTATCAAGATGTGACACGATCTTATAGATCAATAAAACATTTACTACAATAACCAAGCGCACGTTAGTACAACTTGTAAGAAAACACACCATTTGTACAGTCAAGGATTTTAAAATTGTATACAATGCATATTTAAAAATGTACAATGGGACACTAGCAGGGTAAATAACATTTTAAAGGTGTGAAAAACATAGCTGCTTTCATAATAGAACTGTCTAGCCTTATTCTAGCAAATAAATATTTTTTCAGTGTGTTAAAGATTATGGCAGTAAGAGCCTTTAGTTAACATTTTATAATCTTGTAAGGCGCTTTGAATAAGTTGGCACTCTATAAATGCCAATATTAATAAAGATAATTTCAGCCAATGTTTAAATCCCCATGAGAAACATCCAAGTATAGGACTGAAACTGCTACATGCTGTTACCACTATAATCTTCATTAACAACAGCTTTTGGATATTACAAGAAGTCCAGTCAGTGTTTTTTTTTGTTTTTTACTTCAAATTCATAAAAAATGAGTTTGCCCAATGCTGAAATTACCCCTTTTTGCCATTTCCCCTTTACCTACATGCTGTGCAAGCCAAAAGGCAGCAAAAAAATGAAAAATAATAATAGGTAGGTCTTTGAGTTGTGGCTAACTGCTGCCTTCATAATGTATCCCAAGTTTCTTAGCTAGAACAATATGTAGACAATTAGCTTCATAGACCGGTCATATTTCCCACTGAAATCTATGGGTTTTTTTATTTATTTTTTATTTGGGGAAGTCTTACCTAGAGATAAAGTTAGTCTGTCTTTAAAAATGAAATACTGAGGGAAAAATTGACAGACTGATTACAAAATTAGATTTCCTAGTACCTTATTACTGAACTCAAAATACTCTCAATTTATAAATATCTACATCAGCAATTGAAGGGAAAGGATATATTCTGTACACGTACGCACACACAGTTTAGATCAGTCATATAGGTTAAAAAAAACAACAACAAAAAAAAAACACAAACAATTTTTTTTTAAAACAAAGGGTTATTATCAGTGCAAGAAAATGTGCTTTGGTACAAATTTAAAATAAAAGCCACCCCCAGAAATTAGCTTTACTTTTTTTAAACTTAAGCAAAAAAGTGGAGTTCAAGAAAAATAATATTGCAAGTCAAAGTAATTTGAGAAAAAGTCTAGTAATATCTTTAAGCTGCAAATGCACCATGGTCACTAAAGATATCTTTTTACAAGTGTTTAAAACCTGTAGCCTCAGGTTAATATTAACATATTCAAGCTATAGTAAGTTTACATTAAATTAGGAATTTGAGATCTTGCACTTTGAAAATCTTAGCAACCGATATTAAATTATAAAAAAAAAAAAAATTTAAAATCTTGTAGAAAATTTAATATAGGCAGCTAAACAATCTGATTTGCCAAGTAACTCATAATTTTACAGGACGGTGGAAAGGGCTCTTTAAGTATGACCATTGTGCCTACACAGACCTATATTCCTTTCAATGTGTATAAAAACACTACTGAGCACATCTATCTGGCTAAGACACTTCCAAAGTCTGTATATGTTAGTGCACAGAAAATGTTTGATGACAAGAGCTACTTTCTAGTATTGGATAGACCTAAATAAAACATTTTAAAACAATTAAAAAAAAAAAAAAATCCAAAACATGCCAATGAAAGAGCCACAATTTACAAAGAAATCAGATTATTTTTTGATGCCACTTGTATATGTGGGGAAGAGGGCAGTATAATTTAGTTTTTTTTAATTTAAGATATGTTAACTCAGATTAACTAAAATGTGGAAGTAAAAGGTGTTCCTAAACATAAGTTGGAACAAGGAACATTGATGGTAGTTAAGTGGCTTACAACACACCATAAAAAGCACAAATATACAGTTGGTCGTAGTCTTGACGCAAATTAAAATAATCCAGCAACAATAAAAAAAAACAAAGTGTGTTAAATCATAGTGCATAGATCGCTTTAGATATTATTGTTCTGGATATTTGTGCAATGTGCTTTAAAAATCCAATTAATAACAATTCACCTCTTAAAACACAAAATGGAAAAAAATAAAACATGCATATATTTTTACTTTTTTGCACACACTTCTGCCAATGTCCTAAATTTAGGTTCAAGCTGATTTAGAAAGTCTAGCCTTTCCTCCTCGCCTCGTAGTTCACTGCAGCAACCTATTGAACCAGCCACTGACCCTTTCCCTTCGTAATTGTATTGCAGAACATAGTCTTCACCTTTGTGGTGCTCTTCATCCTGTCCACACATGTATAGCTTCTGTAAAATATAAAGAATGTTTAAAAAGACCAATATTCCCATACAAAGCACAAATACATAGTGCACACAAGTTGAATCCTGGCACTTGGGGTTTGGGAGGGGGACAAATTAATCGACTTGTAAAACCATATTTTGCTAAAGGTCCCACTGATGGACCAAAACAAGGAAAGGTTTTTCAATAAAGTCAAGTAGAACAAACACACTAAGCAAAATGTTTTCCATAGCCTCTGTAAGATCGTAAAACAAAGAGAAATTTGAGAATGTGATTTGGATAAACCAAAAATGGCTCGGCAATGCACTATTTAGTGTACTACAAAATTTATATAAAACACAATTATGATGCATATATCTTGAAGTACACAGACAGGCTCATATTTGTGCCGTTAGGTTCACAGACAAAGTAAAAAATAGAGGGGAAGGAAAATGTTAATCTATATTTTACAGCTCTTCTATTTATTACTTGTTACTTGGATCTGTGAATAAACTTAACATTTAATGGCTGCCACCTAACAATTCCTCCCCCACCCCCTCATTTGGCACCATGGATGGAACTGCAAATCACAAAACAGCTTGTGTCCATTGCCCATTTTGCTTGTTCCATGATTTGGAAATATGGGGATTTAAAGTTGCAAAATTCAGATTAATTGTGAATGATTTTAGACAGAATGCACAATTCTAGTAAATACTACTGCCTCACCAGAGACATTGCATCTGCAGGGTAATTGGAGGATATTAAAGCTCAAAAATATTCCCAAAAAAAAAAAAATTGATGGATGGATAGAAGTGGTTACACATAAGACTTACATCACCGATGTGGCTGTTCATAAAGGTTTGCCATTCTGAATAAGTGAGTCTGTTGGGATCTTGCATGCTATGTCCCATTCCCATTGTTCCAAATCTTGAAGGACCTCTTGTCATTTGCTTGGTTATTTTTGATTGAGTAAACTGTTGCCCACCAGATTCACTAAAACTTTGTCCTCCTTGACCAAATACACCAGACCTAGTTGGAGCAGTTCCAACTACATTGGCATCGCTTATGTGAACTGGAACTTTAAAATTTTGATCCTAGAACAAAAGCAGAAAAAAATAAAGACAGAAGTGTTAGTTTGTGTTTCATTTCAGAGACAGTCCAGTGAATTTTAGTATAGTTGCTTTTTAAAGTGCTATTTAAAGTGCCTTTGTCACCGACTGGTGTCTCTGCATTATAAATTACCTGAACCTGTCCCTCGCGGCCACTGTCATGTCCTTGCTTATGGCACGTCAGCTGTCAGGAGTCACAAGAGCACAACACAATTGTCCACGAAAGATGCTGCAAGACTAGGGGATCCCCCTCAAACTGATCCTTCCCCTACTTCAGCTATTACTAGTATTCTAAGTTTCCAATTCAGCTAATTTGGCCTACATTTGGAAGTCCCTGAGTAACTCCTGACATTTCACAGTTTAGTAGACAACCCTGTCAGTTACGGGTTTATACACATTTATATATGTACATATACACAGGGGGAGAAGGGAAGAGACTTGTAGACCATTGGGCTTGAATGTGCAGTAAGAAGGGCCTGGACCTATTGGGCTAGAGTTTCTTGCAGTATGTAGCAGATTCCAGCAATGAACCTATAAGTGTGTGAACAGTGCCATGCGTGGCTGAATTGGATGCATGCTAATCTGTGCAGGAGTTGAGTTTCAGGGTACAACTGAGTTGCAATAGTGGTATGTGAGATACTTGCAAAAAAGATGTAGAGAAGTAGTAACTTACAGGCAAACAATCTATCCAACTTTGACAAAAATGGCTATTGGCAGTCTAGAGCCCAATGTTAAATATGATGCAACATGGTTTTAAGAGATATGACAATCCATAAATGCAGTAAACATTGCAGACCAATATGAAAATAACAAAAGATAGGTCTTAAACTGATTTTATCACAGCTACATTAAACTCAAGACCATTTTTAAACAAGTCACAAGTGCTCTCTATTTTGAACTTATGAATTTCACTTTGCAAATCATAGCTTGGAACTCGGTCATAGAATATTACATATCCATACATGCATTCTTTTATGATAGTCTTACCATGACATCTGCTCCTGGTGCTTCAGTGTTTGTAACAATTAAATTTTGTTGTGCTGCATCATCAGGAAAACCTATTTTATCTTTTCCTGCTCCAGAACCACATGCGCAAGCTAACAAAGCACCTAATAAATAAATGTAAAAAAAGATTTTTTTAAATTAACTCGGAACGAGCGGTAAACATGGTTCAGTTTTGAAAATCCAAGCATTTGCTAGCCGTGGCATAAGCACAAGTAACATTTTGATGCTTTAAAGGTGGCATAATGTTCTATAAGCATGGCATAGTATTGCCAAGCCTTTCAAGTAAAATCAGGATTAAATCTATGATGTGGCAAAAGTTAGTGGTATTCCACAAGCCACTATTTTGTGGAGCACTTGCATTAAATCTTTAAAATAAACAGCTATGCCTCAATTTTCATTTACAGCCACAGGCTGGTAATTATTAATTACATCACTGCAGCAAAAATTAAAGGTGCATTGCCACTATGGACAAGCCTCCCCGGAATGAGATATGCCAAAGTGTATACTTTTGCTATATATTTGGAGACCAATTTGAATTTGTGAGACCATAATATGTGCCCAAAATACAACATACTTCCATTTCATTTTCTTAGTAGATCACCAGTTTATTTAAAACCCAGTAAATCATATTGTGTGTTGAACACGCACAGTAAAAATGCAAAAGTGTCTTGGTCCTTCAGGAGCAAACAAGTAAAATCACTGTCCCCTGGGGTAAAGGTGAACACACACACTGAAAGTCATAAAAATACTTACATAGAAGAGCAGCAACCAACAATGCAGAGAGCACCATCAGAAGAATAGCCAGTCCTCCAAGTGAAACCATTTTATCAGAACGAGATGAACTACAATTAATACCATCAGCGCAAATGCATTTAGTAATCTTCAAAATCTGTGTTGTACCATGGCCTTGCTGATCAACAATGTGGAGAGGAACATCATAGGTTCCGATAGCCATATCAGTCACAGGTTCTAGCCTTATGGATTTTCCTGGAGAAAAGCAAAACACAAAACATTTATATATATATATATACATACATATACACACACACACACACACGTTAATGCAGCAGGGAAAGCAAAAGAAGATCCTAGCTATAAAAATAAAAATGTTCAGATAAGCCCCATTTAGACCAAGTTTCATGAAAGGAACACAACATTAATATATTTTGAATGTTTCTTTTTTGCCACACAACCTACTTCCTCCACCCCCACCCCAATGTAATACAAAACTTGACAAACTTGAGGAAGTGCCTCTAGTGCTTGTCAGTCACAGAGCCACTAAAGGCATGTTCTCCGATATATGTAAACATTGACATTAGTAGGAAATAGCAATAGTCTGAAAAAAGTGACAGGACCTATGTACCAAAACCACTGCATCACAATGTAGTGATTTTGGTTGTTAGAGTGTCGTTTTTGCTAGCAAATACGGAATTGGACAGTTTTGTTATTCATACATGGTAAAATACATTTTAAACTAATTGTGTTGACAGAATGTTAAGGGAACACAAAGTAAAATAGAACGATTTTTGCTTTAAGCTCAGAAAAGTCTAGAGTTGATGAAAAAAGTGTTCCACACAAAAAAAAAATTTAAACAAAATGCTTTGTAAGCAGTCATCTAACCTACCATCAGTCTGTACAATCCGCCACTGATTTGAGACAGATGGGTCTAAAGAGAATTTAAAGGGTGCCGAATAAGGAGTACCATCTGGATCAGCTGCTTCAATTACAGAATATGACCTTCCAGTGTTACAAATATTTGATCCATCCCTAGGGACGAATGGCATATTATCATTGACATCATCCACAATAATCACTAATGTACCAGTGCCTGTTTTCCCACCTGGAAGGAGAAAAAAATAAAAATTAAGACTGTGCTTTTTAGATTTGTAAATGCATTATATAGATATTTTTTCAACTAAATATCAGCATATGTATTTTTTCTTCCACTACAGACTTACTTTGGTCAACTCCATAAACCGTCACATTGTGCTGGTGGTTTGGGGCTTCATTTGATTCATAATCCAGAACTTTTATGGTCGTTAGCTGGCCAGAGGTTTGGTCTATGCTGACCCAAGATAGACTATCCTGTAAACTATATCTGGAATAGGAAAGGGGGAAAAAATATAAATAAAAGAAATAAAAGGATTTCACTACCCCTCCCCCCTTTAGGTGATAAGATGTTTGAAAATACAATTAAAGTAAAATTTAGATCTTGAATAGAAGAAGAATCTGAGGTGGAAATATGAGATACTTACATAATACCATTGCCACTATTTGTCTCTGGATCAATGGCTTTGAAATCTCCGATCACAGTCCCAATGGTTTGATTTTCACGGACATGGATTATTTTGACAGCTGGTTGGAATTCAGGTCCTTCATCCACATTTTTAACAATTACAGTAACAGGGACAGTGCTCAATCCACTAGTTTTTGTACCGGATGGAGTAATAAGGCTCACCTCATTAGTTACTCCTACCTGTATCAGAATTTTTTGAACTTCCTCATAGTTTATTCCCTGTAAAACAAGAGAATAATTTACAAACCAAACACATACAGTTACAATAGCAATACAAAATCGGCAGTATGATTCACAAAAATGTACAACGGCTAAACGCCATATACATATATACTTTCAATAGCCCAACACAGGAATGATGAATGGGTCGGTTAGAAATCTCTAAAAACCAACACTGACAAAATCAACATTCTAAACTATTAGTGAAGTCACTCTACCTTTACAACACTAAGTAGACCCTCATTGGTCACTGGATCAGTAGTTATGTTAAAGTATCCTTTTTCATTGCCTTGTGTGATGCTGTATTTAGCTCTCCAGTTGGAAGAATTACTTAAATCTTTGTCTATTACAGGTATTCGTAGTATGATCATTCCACTTTCATTTTCATTCACTTCAGTCTGATACTAAAATTAAAAAAAGACAAAAAAAACACTTTAATGTAAGCGAGTCCAAAATATAGCTTGCACATACTTCCTAGATATTGACTTACCAATAAAAAAGGTTATTAGTATATGTATAGTTTATGTAAATGTGTGTTACAGCACTTTGTGTGTAAAACAAATTCCTAGGAAATTATGTTTAAACCCATTTGCCATTAACATTAGGATCCAACAGGAGAAGAAAAAAGAAAATCTAAGCATAGTGTATCATTTTTCTTTATCTGAAGCCAAGAAGTGTCACATTTACTGTAACAAAGGGCCATTCTTAACACAGCATGCCTATACAGGCAAGCATTCAAATTAAACAGAACTTTTATTTGGTTACATTTGTAACCATTGCAATGTTTGTATCCAAGGTATCTGAACATCTGATGCATTTTGAACTGCCAAACTATTTCATATGTTGCCAGGTATGTAATTTATACCACCATCGACTGTATAGGAGAAAGACTTTAAAATAGAATTTAAATATAGATCCCTAAAGACCTTAAGGAAACAAAATCCTACAGTATGGAAGATACCATACACAAATGATTCTTGCAAAACTATACAATACCAATGTTACTTACATTAGATATATAAAATATGGACAATAGTGTACAATGGAGATATCCATTTGACCTAGTCAGTGTAAATGAATATTTTACCAGCTGAGATGGAAAACCTCAAGCCTTTGCAAATCCATTAAAATTGCAATCAGAATCTGAGCTCCCAAGCATGTTTTATCACAAATTTTAGATTCTTAGATTATCTTTTATATGGACCCTTCAATTCACTTATTGGTTATTCAATAGATTTCTTGATTAGACCATCATTATATAGTTATCTGTAGGATCCAATGAAAAAGAGTTTTCTCTGCGATGCATCAGTGAGTCTCCAGTGTGTGCGTGTTATTGCATGAGGGAATATATACAAAGTAACTAGACATGCATTTAGGATGTATCACGCTGATTTAAGTACATGTCATTTAAAATGCAATACCATAAGACGTCACAAAAGGATTCACAGATTAAATATATTAAGTAAATAAAGACTGCCAGGGAGACAGAACATAAATTTACATTTGCTAGGATCTTCGTGTATAACACACACACTTGGGATATACATATTAGCAATAACGCTTTACAGTTTAGCTGCAAAATATACACATTTAATTTCGAAATTTCGTTTTTAGAGTGCAATGGATGTTGTAGAGCACTTACCGACTGCTGAGTAAAGGTTGGCGCATAATCGTTGATATCAGTGACCGTTATTAATACGGTTCCAGTTGAGGACAAGCAAGAAGCAAACCGTCCACCCATGTCACGCACTTCAATTAGGAGGACATAGTTATCAGCTACCTTGAAGATAAATAAAAATGTTATATAGTAAATGATATAACATAGTAAATGGCAAAGATTATTGTGATGTTGCAAAGTGAAAAGAAAAAAAAAAAACAAGCACAAATGTAAGGTAAAAAGTGCAATATTTAAATTTTTACCTCTCGGTCAAGATTATTTGAAGTTGTAGTAATTATGCCATAATTTGGATCCACAGCAAACATTATAGGTGATGCAGGGATCTGTGAGATAAGACTGTATCTTAAGAGAGTATGTAGACTATTTGGTTCATCTAGATCCGTGGCATTTACTCTTCCTACAATTGCTCCTGTAAGTTAAGAGTTGCATTAGAAAGTGAAAAAATAAAATGAGGGCTGGAGTACAATATACAGCAGTTTCGTCACAATCCTTTAAGATTGATTTAGGTGAATTCTGGGGTATTATTTGCTGTGTGTTAAGCAATCCAAGACCACTAATTGCAATTGATACAAATAATGTGCAGAATCACACAAAATTATGCAAATACGTGCAATACATAGCTGCCCAATAACACACAAGCCTCTACTGGTCATGCACAAGCTTTAGGGATTGTGAAGTATGATCAGTTACTTGATACACAGAGTAAAGTCTGAAGATGAGTAAGTTTTAGAATTGAGAGAGGAAAAAAAAAAAAAAAAGTAGGTTACTGCAGGAACATCTAACCAATGGCAAGGAATACATCTTTTTTCTGCAAAGAAAATTATATGAAATAGCAGAACATTGAAACAATTTATAGCAGGGGCGGGCCGCTCTGAATCCAGGGCCGTCTGCATCCAGCAAAAAAGTAAATATCTGAATCCCCTGCCTCTGGCTGGGGACTCTGATTTTTCAACTTCCCTCTCTCCCTGCAGCCAGTGCGTCGGCCGGCCTCTCCTGATGTCAGGTAGAGGGAGCGTGACTTTCACTGCTCTTCTCCCAGGACTTCTGGAGAGTCTGGGAGAGGAGCAGAGGAATTCATGCCCCCTCCTCCTGACATCAGGAGAGACCGGCTGAATACACGGACTGCTGCTCTTGGCCTAAGGTAAGATTTAGGGAGGGTGGTGGAGGTGGGGGGGGATAATACACCTTTTTTTATCCCTCTTCCTCAACCGTGTGTGTGTGCCTGTGTTTGTGTGTCAAATCAGCAAGTTTGTGTGTGCCTGTCAGTGAGTGTGTCTGTTTAAGGGGAGGCAGTCACATGGGAAATGTGGGTTTACTCTTCTCTAGATGCAATGGGCCACTTGACTGGAATTGTTATTTAAAGTGATACTCCAGTCACCCAGACCACTTCTGCCCATTGGAGTGATCTGGGTGGCAACTCCCACTAACCTTAACCCTGCAAGTGTAATTATTGCAGTTTTCATAAACTGCAATATTTACATTGCAAGGTTAAGTCCTCCTCAAGTGGCTGTCTACTGGAGGGACTTCCGTGTTCATAGAACACTAAAACAGTGTTTTCAGCGACGCTGGACGTCCTCACGCTATGCATGAGGACCATCAGCGTCGCTGGAATCCGCATAGGAAAGCATTGTATAATGCTTGTATATGGGGAGGTCTAATGTGTGTGCGCTGCCATTGCCGTGCATTAGGTCTCCCCTTCCGCTGACGTCGGCGGGGGAGGAGAGCAGGTGGAGCCTGATCCAGCGCAGAGGGACATCGGGGGTGAGAGGGAGAGGGGCACTGCGGGAATCGAATGTTGTCCTGGCACTGGAGAATCCCTTCAACGAATGCCTAGTCCACATTAATTACAGATTATTCACTTACTAAGTAACTGTGCACAAAGGCCGGATTACTGAAGGAGGAATATATTATGGTATTAATTGTTAACTGACCAGTCACCAAGAGAGTTTAGTGAATAAAACCTTAAGTATGACTACATTTACTAGTTCAATGCCCTTCACCGTCTTGAATTTCAAAATAAAAGCGTCCAACTTATTGTATGCAATGAAACGTATTTTTCTCACCTCTATTGCTGTGCTCTAAAATTTCCATGCAAAATGATTCTTCTGTAAACAGGGGTGCATTATCATTCATATCCTCCACTTTGACAGTAAATCTTAAAGGTGTTTCTGGTGAATATCCATCGGCAGTGCTTGCATAGCACATTAACTAGGAACCAAATGCAGAAAGATATGAGGCAAAATTATTTTTTTCTTAAAATGGAGCAGTCTAAATACATATAAAAAGATAGAAAACTAAATGTGTTACATACGGTATAAAGAGGAATTTCTTCACGATTGACCGCCCTAGTAATGAATATGTTTCCTGTGTGTGATTCAATGTAGAATAAACCCACTGGAGGCTGATCAACACCAGCGCCACTAATAGAGTATAATATGGTATAGTTCACCTGAGTATCAGACTGAATCTGTAAGGGGAGAGAAAACAAAAATATTATAGTAAATTCAATTTTGAACCAGGGTTAAAACTGGATGACAAAATGGTTTTAATTTTTACGTTTATTAGCACCACGTAACTGTATCACAGGAGTGTATATTTGTGTGTGTTTAGAAATGTATTTTCAGAGACATCTATACCAAGTAGAGTAAGAGATGATAAAATGAAAAGGACGTATGTTTATTACAATGTGTTCTTTTCATTTCTCCTACTCTAGCTAATTGAGCAGATAGCCACTAAGAAGTTGTTTATGTATTTTAAAACACTGCTTATTTGATTGCTTTTATGTTCCTTTACTTAACTATACATAAACAATTTCCAAAAAAAGTCTTGAAGAGACAAGTTGGCAAGTACTGCATGTTACACATTTCACGTACAACTTAAAATAATTGGTTGTGTACCCATTCCTTCCAAGAATAGGGTTGGAATATTCAAAGACATTCCTCTAATTTGGGATACTTTTCAAGCAAAACTTGCAATACAATATGATTCTGTGTTTGATAAACGGAGTCCTAAGTGCCTGATCTGAAAACAAGGATCTCTCATAGACTGTTTCCACTTATATTAATAATGTTAATCTGGATGGAAATAATAAAAGCAGTTTTCTGTATAAATCTAGTTAGGACAGGGCCCTCTTCACTTGCTGCTCATGTATGTAAAACAAGTTTTGTTCAAGGGTTTTGTTTTACCCATTTTTCAGCACTATAAAAGTAATTGTTTTTTCAATATTTATTTTATTATTTTTCTTTGGACACAAGAGAAAAAAAATTATTTTTTTGGAAAAACAAACACAAAAGAAAGATGGTTGACAGACAATTATTCTCCAATATTTTACGTCGTATAATATAAGTAATTGTAATTACTATATTCAGAGCACTAATCTAAGGAAATAATGAATGTCAAAAGCTGCATTTTAAACATAATATAATTCCTTTAGTTGTTTTAGAACAAGTGAATGTAGCTCTAACCGATGCTGACAAAGTATGCAAAAATGCCACGCTTAGCAACCTGCCCCAGAACTGTAGTTTTCAACCCCCTAAAAAGCAATGGCATACAGGACATGTAATGATAAAGACCCCTAAAGACTTTAAATATGTCAAAAATATGGATTTAGCATTTCGGTAAAAGTATACCTGAGAGATACCAGCAATTACCACTTGGAAAAAGATTTAATCTTCTAATAACCCAAAAAATCTGCATCTCGCAGCATTTTATTTAACCATTGTTTATAATGCAACAGTACAAAAATGCTACACTTTCACAAACACAACATGGATGCATTTTATTTTCGAGTGTGCTTTGCTTTGAGCCTAGAGCAATGGATTCTAATCTTTAAGGATACATCCGACGAGGCACTGTCTAGGCAAAAGGAGATAAAAACAGGCTCCCCTAACTGGCTTACTGTGAAGTGGGTGTCATTTGCTTTAAGGCCCATCTTGCAATCTAATGGACTGAAAAGAAAATGATAGACAGACAAAGTAAAGAGAGCCTCATTGACTCATCAGCTGTGAACCACTGTTTTAGAGGCGTAAAAGTAAAAGGAATAATTTAGGAAGAGGAAAGTGATACATTATAGTTGAAAGATTAAGTACAGCTGCATGCTTCATATAGCTTGCGTAGAAAAATGACACTGTTTACTATAGGTTTTACCTGCTGAACAAGAGCTGGGAATGGACCAGGTGAATTCTCCATAACTGATGCAGGCATAGGTTGCCATCTTCTTTTGGTACGTCTCAGCAAACCTCTAGTGTATCTCTGTTTGCTGGTCTGAAATTAAATATCTGTTATATACACACACACACACACACACATATATGCTTAGAAGAATAAATAAATGTATAGATTATCCAAAAGGAGAACAGAATTAGATATATACACATAACTAGGACCAATTCAAGTTACCTGTAGCATGTTCAACAAAACTAGCCATGGTGCTTACCAAGTACCTTCTAAAATGTAACAGACTAGCCTTGTATCAACAGAAGCCTTAGTTTATTATTTCATTCATGCCCATAGGTAAAACAGGGCAAATGCTGGTGGGCCGTGGCAGCCATGTGCAGAGGTTGACAGGTGAGATCAAATGATCTACGCAACAAGCCCAGAGAGTGAGCTCTTGACAATGGGAAAATCAAAAATGCTCCCTCACTGGCCAGCCATTTCTGATATTGTAAATGACTCCCCTGAAAACACACACACTACAAACTCCATCTCTCCTCACATACTCTACACAGCCTATTCACCAATTCATGGGCCCCTCATAAGCAGCATCCTGCAAGCCACACCCACACGTCTCCTAGCATGGTCCTTTTTTGTCCCACTTATAGGGACAGCTGCAAATGCAGAACAATTATTTAATTTAATTTTCTTGCACATTGGGCATTTCCATCATACAAGAGCTCTTCAACAGGCATTTGCACATGGGCCTTTCCACTGCTTTTCTTCATAAAAATCAAGCTGTAGAATGGAATACAATCTGTGAGTAGACTGGAATGGCGACTGTTTGAAGACAACACAGGTGTAGATACTTTACCTCGTGGGCAGTTAGAAGCAATTTCTACAGGTCTCAGCTTTAATACTAGCACTGCTGGCAGTGTCTTACATGGATTGTTAAATGGTCACAGAAAGTAAGTGACCGTCTAAAATACCAGCTGGCCATGAGGTTCTGCATCATGATAACTTAACATAATTATCCCAGTTTGAATAAGAAGAAAAAAAAAAAAATCACTATTATATCCATTCATAAATATAGTTATTGCCAACAAATCTGATCCAAAATAGCAAGATCCACAAAATCCAGGAAGCTTTCCACATGCTTTTTACGGTTTAATAATGCTATTATTGGCTTTGATATAGAATCGACATATTCTGCAGCGCTTTACAATTATAGAATGGGAATATTTGCCAAAAAGACCAACAAAATATTAAGAGACAAGAGGTGAAGATCAGAATAATCATGATTAGCAGGATTGTGGCATGATCATTAAGCTCCTGGTCAGTAAGTCAGAAATAAAGTTACAGAGAAGGGATAATCTTGAAGGAACTCTCAATAACACAATGATCCAGTCTGTGGTAAAGACAGCAAGACAACAATGCGATTTATAACAGAAATCTCTACACGTGTCTCACTACAGCACAAAACAACTCACACCTTCTACCCGAATTTACATGTCAGGTGCATGAAGGCACAGAATTCTAATGCACCCTCTGCTCCCAACCCCACAATAAAAGCAGATAATTTAGTAACTGGACAATGCAGGACTAAAAAAGAAAATTAAAGTGTTCATATCTGACAACTGCATAAGTGTATGTGTATATTTCTGCTTGAAATGTATTGTGTTTGAATCGGAGTACAGCGGGACCTCGGTTTACAAACGCCTCGGTTAACATAATTTTCGGTTTACAAATGAAAATCCGTTGAAAAATAATGCCTCGGTTTACAAATTTATTTCGCAATAAAAAGCAAGTTTCCCCAGGATGCATTGCACCTGGGAGGTTTATAGCACTGCCCCCTGCATGCTGGAGCGGCTTTTATATCAAGTTTTGGAGCCATTTTGGAAATTGTTTGCAGTTGTTTTGGGACTTTTTGGAGCATTTCTCAAGCTGTGGAAAAGTAGGGAGCGGAGCTTCGTTGTTTGCATGCCTTTTATTGTTGGTTGGTTTCCATGCCAACTCATTTTGACTTTTTTCTGACATCCAGAACAGATTGGTTGGTTTTCAATGCATTCCTATGGGAAACTGCGTTTCGGTTTACAAATGTTTCGCAATAAGAAACGTTCCGGATAACGCATTAAATTCATAAACCGAGGTCCCACTGTATATTGAATTTATGCAGCTGTAGAAATGCATGCAGGGTTAAATATAATGTTAGAGTACGAGGAGTGTTCAGTTTAAGAGGAGTTTTGGGTTTAGGTTTTGAATGCTGGAGTCTGAAGGGCTATTTGCAAAGTACTCTCCCTTCTGTATACCAGTCAGATTGAGGAGATTAGAGCTGCAGGAGTGGTCATACAGTCAGTGTGCTTCACCAAGAGTTCCCTTGCAATGCATTTCCTGTGTGAGAGGCTGTTAGCGGGCAGATAGGATATGATCCCTCCCACTTCCTGTCCAGCCTCACACACAGACATGTTAGATGACGGGACAGTTTTATACCATCTACAACGGTTTCTGCAGATCTGTTAAGGCAGACTGGGAAATCCAGCCATCCTTCTATCCTTACCAAGGTCCAATTGCTTGCTCAACTTTACTTCTAAAGGAGCTCTCTTCATGAGCAAATCCTTATTTTACCAAACACAATAATAAACGTGGTCAATTCTTAAAGTACTCAACACCAACAACTGACTTTCCCCCAAAGAGATGTACCAAGGATGACAGATTGCACCACTCTACTGCGGAGACTGCTAAAGCCACACAAAGATTTCCCTCTTCTTGATCAAATTTAGACATACAACACTACTGATCAATCTTTCAAAAAGACTAATTATGTAAATATCTACAGACAGATAAATAACTTCTGCAAAAATGAGCATTTCTTAAATGGAAAGACATGGGTGATGCCTCAAGCTGTATAGAACAGCAATATTTTCATTACAGGCTTTAAGTGCCTCCAGTGTATTTCACTCAAACTATGGAAATGCATTGATTTTCTGGGATCAATCCATCCTAGGGATACATTTGTATTCCTAAAACAGTAGGGTTCTTTAAAGCAATTTGTCAGAATAAAATACCTGGTTAGCTTCGAAGTAACCATTTTACCTAAAGGCGAGATGGATTTTTGAATCTATTTGTTCTAGTATCAATTAAAAGGAATTTTATTTGTGCAAATAACTTCAAACTATTTTTGTACAAGTCAGTCGAAAGTCATCCAACCAAGGTCTTAAGACATTGAACCATGATCCAAGACATGGGCACCGTGATCAGTAACTAAAAAATGCAGTAGAAAGCAAAAAGCTTACCTCTGGTTTTGCCACCACTTTAATTTGTATCTTCTTCTTCATCATGGTGGAAAAATCCAAGAGTAAAATTGCAAAAGATATTTTTTTTGTATCAGACAATGAAATCTTTCTTTTGGCATAAATAGAACCGTCTTCAAAAACTTCAAATTTTGGATTGTTTGATTTAGCCAAATAATCATAGGAGTTTAGGCAGCGATGCAGATCAACTGTGTAGATGGAAAGAGAACAAAAAATAAATATTAGAAATAGCTCCCAATTCTAGGAGGTTGTGATTTGCAAAATGAAAATCAACCCACTTAATGTGTTCCACTTTTGTCTTAAAATGTATTTTTTACATTGAACTAGCCAAGACTTTTAAATTAAGGCTAGTAACAAAGCCAAGATTTAATGCAAAATATTAGGTTTCATTGTTATATAACTAAGCTCGTTTTGGCTGCATCCTCAACCTATTGTTCCAGTAACATTCTGTAGTAGTCTCGTCTATTGTTACATTTCCCCCTTTTAGAAAATTGTAAAGCAATGCGGAATAAGCTGGCGCTATATAAATGCCAAAAATTTACATTAATTGATGTAAAGTGAAGCCACAAAGTTTTCAAAAAGGAACCCATTTTCATTGGTTACTGCAGCACACACATTTGTTATTGCAGATTTTCTTGAAACAGGAGGGGGGACCCACACACCCACCGGCTTTGTGGCAGCCTGAACAGAAAATAAAACAAGCTCGGTTTAAAAATAGATAAAAACAGTTCTCACCTTTCCCAATTAAAAATCCAGAGTGTATTATTTCAGAAGGTACAGGCAACGTAACTTTATGGCAATTTTCACCAAACGCACATAATGGCTAGGGAACGAAAAAGACAAGACAAGAATATTAAACGATAATAAAATTTACAAATGGCAAGCTTATAAAGTAGATGCACAAATACAAGTAAATGGCTTGCGTCAGAGGCAACTCTTTTAGACATACTGATCTTTACCACTTTTTGGGTGAGGGTAGCTTATTTATGCAAGAACTAAAATCTACAAGGACCCCTTCAATTGTAAAAAATAAAATAAGAATCTTGATGAATTAATTTTATAGCAGCACAAAAATAAAATATGACTAGTCAATGTATTTGTCTGGCTTGTACATTAAAGCCTCGTGAATTGGTCATATTGGTCTTGATAATGACCCTATAGGATTGAAACATTGATTTTGTTGGAGACACACAAAATTATATATTAAAAAAAAATAAAATGCAATTATACATTTACAAGAATACAAAACCTGCAGAACCTTGAGACAGGGGAGCAAGGCATATTCTACATATATTACCTCATGGCTTAAACTTTTCACTCACCATTGAGTGAATATATATATTTTTTTTTTTTTTCATATTCCAAAGGAAAGCTGGATGAAGATGGACACACACACACACACACGTCCAATTCTGTTTAACGTAAATGTATTTAATAATGGGAGGAAGATGACTGTATTCAAAAAGGAGATCCCGTTAATGTGTACATTAACACAAAAATAAGGTTGAAGGTCACATTTCAGTTACAAAAGGATCAGAAATTAGAGAATTTTTTTTATTTTTTTTTTATTTAAGTATCCAGAGTAAAATCTATAGGCTAAAGAATAGAATAGTAGTTAACATAATGGGGCAAGGTACAAGAAAATACACACACACACACACACACAGTAAATATATAAACACTGCAATTAAGATATATAAATACATTTTCAAAAATGTCTATTTTTATTATTAACTTATTTATTTTAAATTGCAGTGTTTAGCCACTTTTACTTTAATGTGTAAAACTGGTAAATATATGATATAGCAGGCAGGTTGTTGTAATACTTAGTGTTAGTTTGTTTACAGTGACCTTATAGGCAACATGGTTCACCGCTCCTCCTCCCCAAGATCCACTCAACATTAACGCTGCTTTCCCTGCATCTAGGAAAATACATTTCCCCCAACCCCCTATTGTTTAAAATTACTTTTAATTAATATATATATATATATATATTTAAATTCAAAATAGTACTATGCATACTGATTAAAAATGTAAAACACACATATACATATTTTTACCGGACAATCTTTAGACAACCTGTGTACCATTTCTTTCTTCTTTTAATCATTAAATTCCATAGTAAAAATGATATGGAGATGTTTTTAAGAGAATACGTTCAAGGGTGGTGAAACCATGTACTGCTTTAAATCAGTAGTCGGTAAAACATACTCCATTTAACACTTTAAAAAGGAGATAATGCATTATATTCCTAATCCATTAAGGCTCAAAGCACACACAGAATGTTCTGTTGCTGCTAAATGTGTGAGACTTTATTTTGACATGTGATCTTTATAAACTGTAATCTTATAAAGTTATTTGGTCAATAAAAAATAAATAAAAAAAATAATGTATAACTGGAACCAGAAAAAAAAAAAAAAAAGTAATACCTTATACCAGGTGAACGGAAGCACATTACCGTCCATAAATGGACAATGCAAATACACACAGGCCACCCAACCCTGTTTAATTGTTCAACAGCACATTATTATTATATTTATATAGCGCCATCAGATTCTGTAGCGCTGTACACAAACAATCCACGCAGAACGGTCTTGTAATAATACTGTACATTATAGTTTGAGCCAAAATCCGCATAACAAACTGATTGATTACAATATGACTGCGAAAAGATCACGCATCATACTGTATTCTATACTGTTACGATCCCTTCTTGTTTGTTTATTCCATTTCTGTAACAAACGGTTATATTGGTGCACATACACCGACCAAATGTATCACCTTTAAAAACTAAAAAATAAAGAATAAAAAATAAAATTAAAAAAAAAGTTAAATTACAAGAATACAAAACCTGCAGAACCTTGAGACAGGAGCAAGGCACATTCTACATATATTACCCTAAAGGCTTAAACGTTTCACTTGCCAATGAGTTTCCATTGCTACAGAATATAGCTACACTACACATTTTTTATAATAGAATAAATAGTACAACAACTGACATGAATACTACATCTAAACTGAACGGTAACATGCTTGGTTGGGCTTGAACCAGACTTTGACTCAAAGTTAATTTCAGTGTGTTGTACAGCACCAGGGAATATGATATATACTTTATAAAAGCACCAACACATTCCACAGCGCTGTACAATAGCCGAACTAACAGACAAGTATTAGTAACCAGAAGAGTTGAACGCAAAGGAACAGGGGGGGGTTGAGGGCCCTGCTTAAAGGAGCTAAAAAATAAATAAATAGATAAATAAAAACACTAGAGGGAGTCGGGTATAGTGGCACAAAAAGAAAAGATGGGGTAGAAATGTAGGTTGCTAGAATAATTTTCAATTAGGGTTTTTTGGGGGGTTTTTTTGTACCCAGCATATTCCTTCCTTCGAAATTGCTATAAAACTATAGTCAACTAGTTCACTAAATGCTGGCCAACACACTATATTTGTTGGAACTGATCTATACACTAAATACCACACAAATTTCTGTATCCCTATGGATCCCTCAACCATTAACCACCAGAAGGCCTTCTGCCATCTCTATTATTCTTTAAGATTTGAACGTCTTAGGTGGCTAAATTAGGTAAGAAAGTTAGAACATTTTATCAACAAACTGAGCATCACAGTAACCATTTTTGAGACTGGATAAAAATGTTCTAACAAATTGGAAATATGAGTATCAAACCATATTCCTAAAGAGCACTGGTGGATCAAAGGAAATTTAAATAAACTTAAATCTCATTTTGCCCTTTATCAAATTTTTTGTACTTGCTTAATTCATAATGAACCTTACAATTGAAAGAAGTGTGTAAACAAATACAACTCAGATTTTGGCTATAAATATGGAAGAAATACTGGGATCTTTCCCACACATTCGTTTTCTTTAGATCAGCCACCAGGCTGTGTACTTGGGCTTCCCAGCTACTTAATAAATTAGAACACGGTGACTAATGCAGAAAGAGGGAATAAACTAGCTTCTCAAACGAATTAATGTAAGCAACTTGCAAGTTATCTTTTTACAGATATTGCATACAAGGCAGATTTGAGAGCAGTTCATCTACTAAATATCATAATATAATACTGTAAGACAAAAAAATAAATAAATAAAAAATAAAATAAAAATGCTATAGTCTATATACATGTTAGGACTGCGGGTTTAGAACACGGAGTATGGATCCCACGAGATAAAACAGTTGTCTTGGCAGACCCCCATGGCACTATAACCAGTAGGGAATGAGAACTTACCAGAAGAATCATAAAGAAGCACCATATGTGAGGGAGTGATATGCCAGGTGAACCTATCGCCCCCATTCTGAGATCCGGCTTCAAACGATGACAGCAACCGGTGAACACAGAGACACCCTGGCACTAGTAAACGGTGTAGTCAAGCAGGGGGAGAGCAGTCACTTGTATATATGATAATATCCACACAGAGAGCTAATCCTCCAGGCAGGCAGCCAGGCTTCTCCTCTACCTGTACTGCTGTTTTAATGTCCCAGCCCAGACAGCTGCCTGCTCTCCTTCCTAATAGAAAGCCTGTGAGTGCCAGACACAGCAGCTCCTACTCCGGCACCAACAAAACTCTCCTCTTCCCTTTTCTTCCCTGATTACACTCACTCGGCACCTGTCCCTCCCAAATGGGATCGAGAAGGTGTGACCTTTATACTGGGTGTGGCTTACATTAGTTTCATAAACTTTTATTGAATCATTCACTCCCCACCTCTCTTCCCTAGTTTGCATCACAGCCTGGCTTTCTGCTGAAGGTAAACAGTGACAATGTAGCTCTCCGTACAGGAAGGGCAAAGTTCCATTTACAAGCTGTGTATTGGGTTTCATGTTACATGTTTATGGGGTGTAGCTTTAAAGATGCTGTGTGGGGCAGGTAATGGGTCCTGGGTGAGAGTTAGGATGAGTAATAGTGAGGGCGTTCTGGGGTCACTAGGCAGAGTGGGCTCCAGACTAGGGGGAAGGGCAGCCTTCAGCATTCCTTTCTTCCAAAGCTTTTTAGATACAAGATAATTATTTTATGATTCATTCCTCCAGACACTGCTCTCACAGTTTAGGTATCAACATAAGGTTATTATTTTATAAATTACCAACGTGTTCCTCAGCATTTTGTTCAGAGCATTGATATGCAACTATTGTTATTTTTCATTATTATAAGCTCTGCTGTTTTGGGATAAAATTTATAATCCCCCAACAATTGTATTGTATTTATTAATAATGTTGAATAATCTTCGCATTCCTAAAATAAATATTTTTGATTTAAAAAAAAAAAAAAAAAATCTAGCAGATTTCCAAAAGTTTTCAAATCCACATAATGTGACTATTTTAGCCTAGTTTTTGTTATTCACTGTTCATTTTAACACAATACACTGTTCAGTGAATTAGCGTTATTGTCTTTCTTTTCCAAATTGGGAAATGATCCCTTTAGTCTAACTTGCCAACCTTACCTGTACATATTGGATTGATATATATGAATGTAAAAAAAAACTAATTTGAGGGAGACGCGAAGTATTAAAATATATATATATATATATATATATATATATATATATATATATATATATATATATATATATATACACACACACACTGTATAATCCTCACAATGTATCATTTGTAGAATGTCACTCTTTTCTTATTATTTTATAATGTTGCAATGTCTGCTTTAATATCTGCAGCACTGCTCTAAATAAATATTGCAATAAAAATAAAAAAAGCTTTCCCTTTTTTTGCAATGTGTCTGTCTGTGGGGCTTATTTATCACGCATTGAATAATGATGTTCAGAAAGCCACAGTTTCTAAAGTTTGGGCTGCAAAATGCATTAATCTCAGCTGGGTATTGCATTGTTTATAACCAAAATATAGTCATACAACTGGGTGGAATAAAGGTATTTTATTAGAAGCTTTCAGACTTTACATTATTTAAGGCAATTTACATAAATGTACCACAATATTGACAAACACAATCTTGACTTTGGAAGTAGTTCCTCCCTGTTAACTCGAAATTGCCATACCATGTTAATCTCTATGAATCCAAACCCTCTCCCAAAAGATTTTGGAGGCTGGCTTTTGTGCCCTAACAGCGAAACAACTGTGCCCTGTGATAGGGTTTGTGGGGTGGGGAGTTGCTAGCTGACAGCTGCAGGCCATGAAACAGATGCTGGCAACTCCTGGCTCTTGGCCCAAACAGTTATCTGGATCTGGATAGGCGTTTGTGCAAGTTTCAACGTAACATGTATGAGAAGATTAAAACATTTTTTTTAAATGAATACACTAAAGGATCTTGCATCATCTTCCAAATGGGCCCTACATTTTGATATACTTCTTTGGAAGACCTGTCAGTCTGCACTCTTTTCTTTCGCAGCAAATTTGTCAGGTCACATGGAGATGAGATGTAATAGGCCTATCATCCACAGCAGAGAGCCGTGTCATGTTCTTCGCCTACCAAACATTCACGTAGCATTCAAACACCAAGCACAAGGACCCTTTCTGTGTTCCCCATGTCATAAAAAAATGGGCATATGTGGGGGTTTTTTGTTTTTGTTTTTTTAACTTTTGAGCATAGTTCAAAATTCCACAGCAATGCACAGTTTTCATATGAGTGTATAATAAAGTGCCACAGTAATGAGTGATGTTTGGATTCTTCAGGAACACGTAGCATGCATGAGTTTCTCACATAATTCCACAGAAAAAAATCTTTCTTACAGATGTGCTGTTTGCATGTGGGGGCACCTGAGCTCTTTCTTGATTTTAGTTTTATCTGACCTAGAACCTGCTCCGCATATTCCCAGTCCTACGTGTAAACACACCACCAGACTAGACTTCCTGTCAATCAGTTGTTCTCAATAAGTTTACTAGGTTGTGACTGTAAAACTGGAATAATCCAGTTCTACCAGTCGTATACGCTGCGTATATTGACCTCTAGCTTTTCCTAATTTCTCCTTTTGGTCTTAACTACCTCTACTCCTTAATACACAGGACATCACTATTGATGGCTAGTTTTTAATATATCATCAACATTGTTGTTCTATCCAGAAGTTTGTCAAATTCAGTTAAATTCACCAAAATGCACAGTTTATAAACCTCTGTAGTATAACAAAAATGCAGTTTAATTGCACTCTGTTGCATTGCAAATACCTGGAGCTTTAAAATGCAAATCATTGCATTGTAAAGAAAATCATGTCTACAGTGATTACAATATTTTGTGTGGCTGTAGTGATTACGGTGCCAGGGCAGCCATAGTGCTCCCACTCCCATTGTAAGTAGTAAAACCATTTTCTTACCTGGCATCTGATGAACAGTGCTTTTGGTTACTTCAGAAGAAGAACCACAAGGTTCTAAGCAGGATTTTTTATCAGCCTATCTTTCCTGTCAATATTTGCTGTAGCTTGTCTAATTTGTTGTTCAGTTGTAATACTTATTTGTGCAAAATAATATTATAAAGGCCAATAATAATAAGCCTTGCCATAAAGGGCTAAATCATTGGCTGAGAATGTCTGCTGAATGTCAGCCAGTAAGCTAGGCCATGCACTGCCTGGGTAAGCTCAGACAGGTAACTTCCTGCTCCCTTTCAGAATAATTTGTCTGGCAGCAACACCTTGCGGAAACCAGGTAAGATGTCGAACTATTCCGAAATGGTTTAACTTCTGAACATGAGATGGTGCCAGGGCACTCATAGCCACTACAGTGCATTGTAGTGGTTATGGTGGTCAGTGTTCCTTTTATAGTACAGTCACTTTGCAACCGAAATGTTCTGATTTTAAACTAGGTATTTCATTGAGAGCATACAGGGATAAGAGTCTGATTGAGAGAGCCTAAACTATAGGTGAAATATGTTCCATAGAGAATAGACCATGGTTTGTTTTAATACAATTTTTTAATATTGTTTTATATAAAAGTTATTAGTTTTACAAAAAAAAATCACTCTGTTATTGTATCACAAAGAGGAGTTCTAAGTTGATTAGGTATTGAGGATGGCAATGTGACCATCGTATGCTTATAAATTGAGCCTGTATTGGAAGGCTCTAGGACACGTGAGTGTGGCTATATAATATTTCTTTGTTTCTGTTATTTGGTTACTACACTATATACTCCCTTTTTTCTGTTCTGATTTGCGAGAAACACAAAAGAAGGAGCAAATTTGCAGAAGGGAAGGAGTCCCCTACAAAAGGCTTGAAATCTGTTTATGAAGAGCAAGATCTGAGGTTAATGTAAGTTGTTACTTTAGAGGAGTTTTATATACTGTTTGTTTGTTCTTATCATACTGTCTGCACTACTGCATGCTTTCTGTTTATTTTATATGAAGTTTATTATACCTTTTAAGAAGACTAGTCCATATGTGCGTATGGCTGTGTATATCACGGGATATCACTTAAAGAATTTGCTCAGAAACATTTCCTCATTTTTTAAAAGCACTTTATTGTATTACACTTTATATTATATCTATCAATATCATTTTGCTATATACAGATTTTATCGAGTGTGGTAGCATGGCTATTTGTAATATATATAGATATATTTTTAGACACTAACCACTGCTTCACGGAAACAACCCACAAGATTTGTCGTTTTGTAGATGCTCTGAACCAGTTTTCTAGCCATCACTATATGGCCCTTGTTAAAGTCTCTCAGATCTTTTCGCTTGCCCATTTTTTCTGCTTCCATCACATGAAATTCAAGAACTGACTGTTCACTTGCTGCTTAATATATTCCATTGTAAGGTTCCTTGACAGGTGCCATTGTAATGATATAATCAATGTTATTAACTTCACCTGTCAGAGGTTTTAATGTTGTGACTGATCAGTGTATATGCTGCATAAAAAATTAAATCTGTCGTTTGCTGGCATCATATGTAATGAGCTTCTCACTTGCAGGAGTGCACCTGCAAAAGGAAGCTTTACTATTGTCAGGATTACTAGGTGATCCAACCCACAGAATTATATCACACCTAGGACTAAGGATAATGTATAATCGTACCTTAGAAAGCCGGACTTAATGTATCCAAGAATAGTCAATATACTTGCCAAGGTCAGGGATACAGAGCAAGACACAATGATGAGAGAAAGCCAAAAATCAGCTACATCAAACGAAGCCAAAGTCAAATACCAGAAATACTACGATCAGGAACACACTCTCACATAACCAGCTAAGGTAAACCACGACAGGGCACTGATCAAAAGGAAAAATGGGTTTAAATAACCCTCCTAAAGCTGCAATTGGCTGTAAGTGGCCTTTGACCCCAAAATGTGTGTGCACGTCTATGACGTGACGTCGCATGCATGTAAGCATCAGCTTTGATATGGGCGATGGCTATTTCTCTATTTAAAATGGAACCTCAGCGGCCATCGCTCGTAGTAACGCCACACACGCTGGGGACCGGGATGGAATGAGGTCGAGCTTTGATCTGCCGCGGATAAGATAATATTTTGTTACTTCTGTCGGCATGACCGCTGTGTTTCTGTGCGGCACCGTGACAAGTATCCTCTCTCTTTGTGCAATCCCCCTGCCTCCCTCCAGAGAAGGTTACTAATTTTAATAATAAATAAATCCCTACCCTCCTTTTTATCCCCTGCCAAGCTCTGACCTGGGGATATTATTAGGCGCTAATCTTGAGCATGTGTGAGTCTTGTTACTTTACTATTACTTTCACAGGAGAAACAAGAAATGCATATATGCATTCATACTTGAGGGTAGATAAAGACTGGCCGTCAAACAGACCAGGCAAATGGCGAGTGCCATTTTTCATGCGGAACCCTCCAAGAACTGGACTTGCATATGCCTTCACTAGCCGGAGGGAAGAGTGAAGACTGCAGGAGAAGGGAGGAGAGTTTAGCTACTTCCTGGTTACTGAAAGATGATCAAAGATTTCAATGACGCATGCAGCAATTGGAAAGTGGGAATCCTGCATGTTTTCATTTTGAATGCTTTTGTTTATTTTGTTTGAGATCTTGTTATCATTGTGCGAATAATGCATTTATTATGATTGTGTAACTCATCCTGGAATTAGTCCCTTGCAGTCAGGAGCATAACAAGATGGAGAAGAACTCTATAAAATGTAATTTAGCCTCCATTCACTGCTGCTATTTTCTTTACATCGTGATCCGTCAGGTAAAGCAAAAGTCCAGTTAGCCTGATGGCACAGATCTTGCCATCTCATTCAGTC